TATAAATATAAACTCTCTGGGTTTAAGACCAACATCAACAAAAATCCCTAATGCCCTCCCCTCTACACTCGAAAATATGTTGTACACCAATTACACCTGAAAAAAGACATTCCTAAATTACCTTGTATTTGCAGTAGGATAGTGTTAATCCATCAAGTATTAAAATGAATTTTCGTAACTCTAATAACCACTGTGCCTCAACTTCCTTTTCGACAATATAAAAAAAAATATTCTACTGTTTCATATTTTCGTATGTTTAGCACAAATTAAATATTTCAAGTGTTTAATTGTTTGTTTATTGATATCAACAACAACATATAAAAAATGTTTATTTGTTTCTTTTTTGTTGTTACTTTTTGGCAGTTTTTGCAGAGTATATTACGCTGTTGTTGTTGTATTATTATTTTCAATTCCACCCTCTCACTTGAAATATTCTACAATTTTTATAGTATTTTTTCATTTTTTATTGTTGTATGAATATACATACTTACATACATACATATACATGTACGTGTCTATGTTTCTATTTAAGGTTTGTATGTCTGTCTGTACGTTTATAGAGACTACTAGTGAGTGAGTGGCACGCTTTTCACATTAAGTTGCATATTTTTTTTTTTTTTTTTTGTTTATAGTTTCAATATGTTTTTCTTGTATTTATTGTTGTAGTATTTTAGTTTTGTCCACGTTGTTGCGTTTTAATGTCTCTATGTACCCAATCAGCTAAATATGTATACATAATTGTTTGTATATACATATTACGTTTATTTGTTCAAAAAATATATGATTTTCGTTAAATCAGCAAAATGAATAATATTAAGTGATTACAGTGAAGACCAATTAAAACTTACACTTATAAAACTAAATTTTTAGCAATTTACAATAAAGGAAATTGTTGCAAAAAAATCTACCTGTATGCGTATACGTAATAATTTTGTTAACAAGTTTTGTTGCGTATTCGCACGTTACATTTTTAAATCAGGCATGAAAAATTTAATTTTGAAAGAGTGAAGAACACTATAAACTAAACTAAAGACTAGACTATTGACTAGACTATAGACTAGACTATAGACTAGACTATAGACAAGACAATAGACTAGATTATAGACTAGACTATAGACTAGACTATAGACTAGACTATAGACTAGACTATAGACTAGACTATAGACTAGACTATAGACTAGACTATAGACTAGACTATAGACTAGACTATAGACTAGACTATAGACTAGACTATAGACTAGACTATAGACTAGACTATAGACTAGACTATAGACTAGACTATAGACTAGACTATAGACTAGACTATAGAGTAGACTATAGACTAGACTATAGACTAGACTATAGACTAGACTATAGACTAGACTATAGACTAGACTATAGACTAGACTATAGACTAGACTATAGACTAGACTATAGACTAGACTATAGACTAGACTATAGACTAGACTAGACTAGACTATAGACTAGACTATAGACTAGACTATAGACAAGACTATAGACTAGACTATAGACTAGACTATAGACTAGACTATAGACTAGACTATAGACTAGACTATAGACTAGACTATAGACTAGACTATAGACTAGACTATAGACTAGACTATAGACTAGACTATAGACTAGACTATAGACTAGACATAGGACTAGACTATAGACTAGACTATAGACTAGACCTATAGACTAGACTATAGACTAGACTATAGACTATAGACTAGACTATAGACTAGACTATAGACTAGACTATAGACTAGACTATAGACTAGACTATAGACTAGACTATAGACTAGACTATAGACTAGACTATAGACTAGACTATAGACTAGACTATAGACTAGACTATAGACTAGACTATAGACTAGACTATAGACTAGACTATAGACTAGACTATAGACTAGACTATAGACTAGACTATAGACTAGACTATAGACTAGACTATAGACTAGACATAGACTAACTATAGACTAACTATAGACTAGACTATAGACTAGACTATAGACTAGACTATAGACTAGACTATAGACTAGACTATAGACTAGACTATAGACTAGACTATAGACTAGACTATAGACTAGACTATAGACTAGACTATAGACTATACTATAGACTAGACTTAGACTAGACTATAGACTAGACTATAGACTAGACTATAGACTAGACTATAGACTAGACAATAGACTAGACAATAGACTAGACTATAGACTAGACTATAGACTAGACTATAGACTAGACTATAGACTAGACTATAGACTAGACTATAGACTAGACAATAGACTAGACTATAGACTAGACTATAGACTAGACTATAGACTAGACTATAGACTAGACTATAGACTAGACTATAGACTAAACAATAGACTAGACTATAGACTAGACTATAGACTAGACTATAGACTATACTATAGACTAGACTATAGACTAGACTATAGACTAGACTATAGACTAGACTATAGACTAGACTATAGACTAGACAATAGACTAGACAATAGACTAGACTATAGACTAGACTATAGACTAGACTATAGACTAGACTATAGACTAGACTATAGACTAGACTATAGACTAGACAATAGACTAGACATAGACTAGACTATAGACTAGACTATAGACTAGACTATAGACTAGACTATAGACTAGACTATAGACTAGACTATAGACTAAACAATAGACTAGACTATAGACTAGACTATAGACTAGACTATAGACTAGACTATAGACTAGACTATAGACTAGACTATAGACTAGACTATAGACTAGACTATAGACTAGACTATAGACTAGACTATAGACTAGACTATAGACTAGACTAGACTATAGACTAGACTGTAGACTAGACTATAGACTAGACTATAGACTAGACTATAGACTAGACTATAGACTAGACTATAGACTAGACTATAGACTAGACTATAGACTAGACTATAGACTAGACTATAGACTAGACTATAGACTAGACTATAGACTAGACTATAGACTAGACTATAGACTAGATTATAGACTAGACTATAGACTAGACTATAGACTAGACTATAGACTAGACTATAGACTAGATTATAGACTAGACTATAGACTAGACTATAGACTAGATTATAGACTAGACTATAGACTAGACTATAGACTAGACTATAGACTAGACTATAGACTAGACTAGACTAGACTATAGACTAGACTATAGACTAGACGAAAAATCAAAAAGTGAAGTTAATCACTTTGTCATATAAGGCAAGCAATCTATCAAATAAAACACATAAAACTTAAAACAAAAATATAATTTTGTTTATCTTTAATATTGGAAAAAGTTAATATTTTTTGTGTTTAAAAAAACAAGAAAACATTTTTTTGTTTATAAAAATTCATCATTTGAAGACAATAAATACTAACGAATAGAAGAAAAATGTGTTTCAATTTTTGTTCTAATAAACTTGAGACAGCCACAAGTGAGTGTATGATAAAAAGGCCATCGAAAAAATAAGAAAAAAAAAAACTAAAACAAATTAAAACATACAAAACAAAAAACAATGAAAATAAAAGAATTTCAAACTAAAAGAACAAACATGTTGTATTTTAAGTGGTTAAAAATATCTTTTCTTATGGACCTGACAATTCTCTAGTGGAGGCAATGGGAATGTAAATATTTAAGTGGTGGGGAGGTTGGATTACCTAAACAACAATACTAAGTAAAATGATTTACTGAACACAGGCTAGAAATGTTTTAGATTACAAATTCTTTAGCTATTACTATATTTCAATATAATTTTTTTTTTTTTTTTTGATGATGATTTACTTAAATAAATTTTAATTCTTACCCGACGATTTTTATTTTTGAAAGGTTTATAGGATTTGCCTTTGTGTTTGGCACCACCGCCCAAATGAAGTTTCTTCATGTTGACAAAATTGTTGCTTTAAATTTTGCAAAATTTTAAAATTTTTAACAATTTTTTTTTTTAATCTTTTAAAAACACTTAATTATGCAATTATGAAGTTGATTTAGTAATTTTTATTTGATTTTTTTAAGAAATTTGTTACTTTTTTCTTTGAAAACTTTTAAATTTATTATAAACTTAATTTTTTATTCATATAGAATATATCACATAAAACACTTTTTCCTTAATTTATTTAAATAATTATAATTCTTTAAGATTTTTCTTTTTTCAACGAAACCCCCCTTTTCTTAAAACGCGCACATCCGAAATCCATAAGATAAAAAATTCAACTGATTTGCTATTTTCAGTCAAAACGATGCGACAGAGACAAAAATTTTGTTGTTAATTTCTTTTTTTTTCAAATTTCAATTCGCAACAAGATCAACGAGACCTCAGCAACAACAATAACAAAAATAAGTTTTTGTGAAAAAAAAAATGTTTTTTCAATTTTTTTGTGTTTTATTTTATTTGTTTTCAAATACGTAAGTATTCAAATCGTAAAATATTTTGTTGTTATTTTTTTTTAAATCTATTTTACATTTGAGTTGTTTTTTTTTCCTTCTTGTTCTGGCGTTTTGTTATTTGATGACGTTGCTGGCTGTTGGTTAATTATTTTTTTGGGGGATTTTCTAAGAAAATTTGTTGAAGTATTAAGAATTTGTTTTGAAAGTGTTTTGCTCGTAATATTTTGACTCTATTCAACAGGTTTAATGCCTGTTTTAAGAAAATTTGCCAGAAATGCGTAGGTCATATGCTCTTTAATTTATTAAAAAATAAACAAAAATGAATTTTAATAGATTTTCATATATTTTTCAAATCTCCAAAAATTCCTTTTCTTAAAAAATTAAAAAAAAAAATATATTTAATAATATTAATCAAAATTTGTTCACTTATTTTTTTGCAAACGTTGTAGTCAGTCATATTTAACAAATTGCTTACTATCAAAAAAAAAAAGAAAAATTTAGTTCACTATTAACACAAAAACTGATGACCTGTCCTACACTAACACTTCAAAGTCAATAATAAAAAACATATAAAAACTAAACAGACCAAGCAAACCATCATCAGTTTATTGTCAATTTCACTTGCGACTCAAACTAATTCAACTATACCCTCAACAATCATCATGAAATTCTTCGCTACAATTTTGGCTGTTATCGCAACATTGGCTGTTGCTTCTGCCGGTGGTTATGGCGGTGGTAGTCCTGCTGCTTCTATTCCCGCTCCTCCCTGCCCCAAGAACTATTTGTTCAGCTGTCAACCTAATTTGGCTCCAGCTCCTTGTGCTCCTCCAGCTGCTGGTTATGGCTCAGCTGGTGCTTATTCGGAAAATGTTCCCACTATTGTTAATGCTCCTTATGGTTATCAAGGATTGCCCCAGAATTTACTACAAGTTCCCAACTATTATGGAAATCATTAAGTGTGACTCACTATAACTGGCTGTAGAAAATTTTAGTTTAAGTTTAAAGAATTTTCTTTTTTTGTTATTTGGACATTGATTTTAATTTTAATAAAAATTTTATAAATATTTCAATATACAACTTTGTAGAAATTTTATTTTTCGAAAGGAAAAAATATTTTTTCAATGGATGGATGGATAGAAGTAGACAGAATCAATAAGCAATTGGATCCAGAGGGTCTAAGTACTATTCGAAATAATTGTGCTTTGCAAAAAGGATATATTTTTAAAAGCACTGAACAAGGTACTTTTCCAACAGGAATGCACCCATTCAAAGTTATCAAGAAAGTACTTTTCAAAATGAGGGCAGAATCAATAAGCAATTGGACACAAAGGGTCTTAAAACTTTTCGTAATAAATGTGCTTTTAAGAAACCCTTTTCTTGTTTCAAACTGGATCTGTACTTTTCCAACAGGAGTGTACCCATTCAAAGTTATCAAAAGGTACTGAACAAAGTAATGTTCCAACAGGAATGTAACCATTCAAAGTTATCGAAAAGGTACTTTTAAATCTTAAGGCAGAATCAATAAGCAATTGGATCCAAAGGGTCTAAATACTTTTCGATATAAATGTGCTTTTAAGAAACACATTACTCGTTTCAAACTGGATCTGAACAAAGTACTCTTCCAACAGGACTGTACCCAAAGTTATCAAAAAGGTACTTTTAAAATGAGGGCAGAATCAATAAGCAATTGGATCCAAATGGTCTAAGTACTTTTCGAAATATTATGCTTTTAAGAATCGCGTTTCTTGATTAAAACTGAATCTGTACTTTTCCAACAGCAATGTACCCATTCAAAGTTATTAAAAGGCTCTTAACAAAGTACTTTTCCAACAGGAATGCACCCATTCAAAGTTATCAAAAAGGTACTTTTAAAAATGAGGGCAGAATCAATAAGCAATTGGATCCAAAGGGTCTAAGTACTTTTTGAAATAAATGTGCTTTTAAGAACAAACTGGATCTAAACAAAGTACTTTTCCAACAGGAGTGTATCTATTCAAAATTAACAAAAAGGTACTTTCAAAAATGAGAGCTTCAGATGTTCAATCAAAAATGATTTGGAAGTTCCTTTAAAAAACCTTCATTTATTTCAGAAGAATTTCCTTCAGAATACCATTTTCCATAAAAGGTACTTTCTTCAGGAAAAATTTTATGAAGAGACATTTGCTCTAACTAAGAAATGTCTTCCATTAAGACTCATTTTTCCAACTTAAAAGTTTTTTTATATGAAGAGAAAACGTCTTCATATAAAAAAACTTTTAAATATGAAAAATGAAAATATTTCTTTTATAAATTTGTATAATTTTCTAAAGAAATAGTTTCTTTAAGAAAATCGCATTTCTGCAAAGAAAAAGTATCTTCTAGAAGACGTCTTCTAGGAAAATGCATATTCCTAACGCAAAAGTTTCTACTGTTAAGATGAATTTTTCTAACGTAAAAGCGTCTTTTACGAAGTCGCATATTGGTCCTACACCATAAAGTATACCGATCACTTTCTGAGTCGATTAAGACATGTCCGTCCATCTGTCCGGCTGGCTGTCCATGTAAACATTGTGGGCAAGTTACAATTTTCAAGATATTTTGATAAAATTTGGACCATACGTGTTCTTCGGCATAAGAACGATGCCTATTGAAAATGGTTAAAATCGGTCTACTATTTCACCTAGCCCCCACAACCTGACCTTCCGATTTGGGGTTTTTAACTCATAACTATGTTTAATATACTACTATTTCTCCATTGCCATTATCATGCCGATTTCTGTAATGATCGGCCGTCGTTTGACCCTAGCTACCATACAGACCCCCCTTTAAAAAATAACTTAAACGTCCAAAAATTTAATTATAAGCATTATTATCGCGATGAAATTCAGCATAATTAACTATTATATAAAAATACATCCCTCCTAGCAATTTATTGGGGATCGGCCCATATTTGACCCTAACTCCCATATAAAGCCTCTTTTAGAAATTTTGTTTTCCATCAATAAATTGCTTAAATACATCAGAATTAAGTTAAAATTCAACAAAAAATAAATAATTTTTAAAATATATTCATGGTGTAGGGTATCATATAGCCTACCATGCCCGACTATACTTTCCTACTTGATTTGAAAATGCATTTTCTATGGAGAAAATTGTCTTCTAGGAAGACGCATTTTCTTTACAAAATTTCATAAAGATTAATTTTTCTAACGAAAAAGTCTCTTCTGCTTCTAGCGAAAAAGTTTCTTATATGACATTTTTCTATTGAGATAGTGTGTTCTTTGAAAACGCATATCTCCAACGAAAAAGTTAATTCTGGAAGTCAAATTTTTCTAAAGGAAAAGTATCTTCTAGAAAGACACATTTTACTAAAGAAAAATTGGCAACATCTAAAGAAATAGTGTCTTCCATGAAGACGCCTATTCCAACGAAAAAGTGTCTTCTAACGATAGTAAGTCTTCTATAAGGACGAATTTTTGTAACGTAAATGTGTCTTTTATGAAGACGAATTTTTCTAAAGAAAAAACGTGTTCTATGAAGATGGACTTTCCTAAAAAAACTTATCGTTTATGATAAGACGAATTTTTTTACGAAAAAGACTCTTACATTTTTCAAACGTAAAAGTGTCTTTACAAACGAAAAAGTGTCTTCCACAAAAAAGGAACGAAAAAGTGTCTTCTACGGAGACGCATCTTTCTAAAGGAAAATAATTCAAACAAAAAAGTGTCTTCCATAATAACGAAACGAAAAAGTGTCTTCTATGGAGACGTATCTTTGTAAAGCAAATATGACAAATAGAAGACACTTTTTCGTTAGCAAATGTTAACTTCTTTTTCCTAAATAAGAAGTGTCTTTTATGAACTGATAGAAAATATTTAATTTCTAATATTAAACTAATTGTTGTATAAATAAGATAAATTAATAACAAATTTCAAATAATTTAAAAATATATATTTTTTTTAATTTTTATTCACATCAATCACATTTTTGTAAGAAAACAAATAGAAAAATTCTTAAAACTTAAACAAATCATACATTCAATAATCAATCAATTGTTATAATGCTAATTGTTTATTTAATTGCCACCCATAAATTGTCCATAATAGTTGGGATATTGATTTAGCTGTTGTGGCAAACCCTGGTAACCGTAAGGAGCGGTAATAATAGTTGGTATATTCTCTGAGTAAGCACCAGCCGAACCAGCTGCTGGAGGAGCACAGGGAGCGGGAGCCAAATTAGGTTGACAACTGAACAAGTAGTTTTTGGGGCAGGGAGGAGCGGGAATAGAAGCAGCAGGACTACCGCCGCCATAACCACCAGCGGTTACTACAGCCAATGAAGCAGCTACAATGACAAGAGTGGCGATGGTATTCATGTTGGTTTTTTGGCGATTTGAGTGTAATACAAAACGTTTCGAAATGAACTGACAATATTGTGCAATTGTTTAGAAGTTTTTATATGATTTTTCATATTTTGCAATATTTAATATGTTTGCGTAGGAAAGTTATTCAGTTTTTGTTATTTTTGTTTTTTCTTCAGGTGGTTGTTTTTGTGGGTTTAAGCAGTTTTAAGTTTAGATAATAAATATTATTTTTTGTTGGTTACTGGGTATTATTGTTTTCCTTTTTTTTCAAGAAAGTAAGTCATTGACTTTTTTGCTGCTGAAAAATGTTGGTCATCATTTTTACAAACTTTAATTAGGTTATTTGCCTCTTAAGTTTTGTTAAATTAGCATTTGATAAAAATATTTGTTAAATGTAGTAAAATTTTTAAATTTTTATACACAAATTGTTATTGAGACCTTATCATAGAGTTTTGGTTAAAATTAATCTATTTTAATTTCAATAATTAGAATACATGATTTTTTAATTAACTATCATTCTTTTTGCAAATTAACAAAATTTTGTATTAATTCTTTTCACAACAAAAAAGTATTGAATGAAATTTTAATCAATTCAAACGAATTATGCAGAAATGAATAGCAATTCGTTTTCAATTCAAATGAATCTTTAAAATGAAACAGATACAAGAAGTTCGGTCGGACAGTCCCGAACTCCCTATTTAACCTACCACATAGGGTTACACCTAGACACCGACTGTCCAGATGACTAGCTATTTTAACATGTGCTTGTCCTACGAGTAAGTTAATCGTCGCCCCATAGGTTACGAAGAGACAGACAAGTGGTTTTTCAGTGCCTTACAAAGGGGACACTAAAGTGACGATTATCTTCACCCTCGTTTACAAAGAGTACATCCGTGACGAAAGACGAGTTAGAGCCAAGAATCACTTTCTTTTTCGGATGCATTGACTCTTTGTCGAACTGCAGGGTACTTACTATGGTGTTGATGGTCCTAAAAATATATTTTTTTAACTCAATGAAACTGACTTATATCCACAAGTACTTCCTTTTTTGAGGAATTAAATGAGAAATTTTGTACACATTTGGCAAATGATTTGCGACAAACTAAAAATTAGACTTTCTTCGAAGTCTTGGTTATGATTATTCTACAATTTGTTTAGATCTTCTGAAAGAATCACATGAATTATGCTAAATTTGTGCATCATCTCCTACTGCTGAGTTATATGGTGGTAAAGTCGTGAGTACGATTTTTTTTTCATTTTTTAATGTTTACACATTTTTAAACAGAAAATTGACGTACCCTCATATTAATCAAAATTTTGTACACCTGATGAAAACTGAAGTAAGCGCGCGTCGTTATGTATGCGAGATATGTATGTTACGATGATGTGCCCGAAATAGAGTAGATAAACTTGAAACGTTTGAAAATTTCACTATTTTGCATTTACAGTTAGAAGTCTAGAACATCGCGTGATCGTAATATTATTCAATTTCCTACTTTAAAATCGGTGGCATATGATTCAAATCTTAATCACCAAAAAAATCCCCAAAAAAATGGCGAAAATTTTGTTTTAGATTTTTTTCAATATTTTATTCCAGAAAGCATGACATGTGAAAATGTAAAAGCATGTAATAGTAAGTAATTCTTACCACGAGTTCCAATCAAAAATTTGATTCATTACTTATCCATATTCGAAAATATCGCAATTGTTGACTAAATTTATTAGCTGGAGGCACATGCAAAGCGCACATCAGGATTCTAGCTCTAATAGTTTCTTAGATACACGAATTTTTGTACTCAATTCATATGGAAGATGACAAGCTCCCCTAATGAAAGCCCGACCACTAGTCCGCAAAATGTTTACATGGATGTTAAAGTTCTTCGTGGAAAATTTTAAGATTTTAACTCCAACAGTTTCCTAGACAAAATAATTTTTTTTATTTAATTTATATAGGAGGTACCACGCCCCTAAAATCTAGTCCTATACACGAATTTTTTATTCCATCCATATGGGAGGTACCAAGACCTCCTCCATAAATGTTAAAGGATTTTTGCATAATTTTAAGATTCTATCTCCAATGGTTTCCCAGATAAAATAATTTTAATATTGCTAGTCCCCCATTTTTTGTTCTAAACATTCATGTTTATACTAAATTGCCTCCGAAATGGGGACTCTAGCTGTTATATTTCCTCAGATACACCAATTTAAAATTGTCTTTATATGGGAGGTGCCACGCCCACTTTAGCTAGGCTGAGTATTTCAAACAAACATACAAACTCATATTAATTTTTATATATGTATATAGATTTACTCCGGGCTCTACATGCTTAATTTCATGTTTCTAGACCAGTCACGAGCAAAACTGAAATTCTAATGCACGCGTGCATAGGCCAAGAAATTCTGCTGACGCTTTGTTGACACACCTACACTATAAGCTTGTGTGTATTAGTGTGTCTGTGTTTTACTAAAATGACCACTTGTTTGTTGCTTTGTTACGATCTCAGAGATCAAAATCAAATCAGTTGCTGTTCAGCTTTTGTAGAAGCAAGATCACGTTGCGGATTTTTTTATGCTTATGATTTTTTCTCTTTTATTACACCTAGCAAAATGTTTGATATAAATTGGGAAAATGATTTCTTTTTTATAGAAAACATGGACGGTGAGGCACAATGCGTCGTATGTTATAAAATTATATGTAGAAAAGCTTTATTTTTTTTGAAAAGGCATTATGAAACTTGCCATGGACCCTTAAATGACCTTAGGGGACATGACAGAAAAGTAAAGTTGTTGCAATTAAAAGGTTAACCGATCAACACATTGGTGACTTATTGCGTATTAAGGAATATAAAGGAAACATTGATTTGGATAGATTAGTTGAACTTTAAATTAAGTTCAGTTAATATCTCGGTAATATCCCTTAAAAGTTCGAAATCGAATAGAAAGTCGTGATTTTCTTAATGATATTTCAGTAGTTTTATTTAATACTACTTTTTAAAAATACTACTACTTTTCTTAAATGAAAAACTCTTTCCCTTTATTCCATTTTTGTTTAAAATGCCCAAAAGTTCATGAGTTTTTCTCGTCGTAAAAAGTATTTGCAATAGAAAACAAATTTCAAAACTTTTCTCAGTGTACCACCATTTTGTTATAACGTGCAGTCATCTCTCTGCTGCTTAACGCACACAAATATACACATGGTGGTATGTGTTTGCCCATGACTGTTCTAGACAATAAAAACATACAGCTGCATTGCTCTGGTTTTGTTTTATGTATAAAAAAGCAAACTAAGTACAAGAACAAAACTTACCATGTGTGTTGTTGTTGTAATTTTTTTTTTATCAATGCATACTTATATATATCTTCCCGAAAGCATGTCTTATAGAATTATTGAAGATTCAGAAATCTCAGATATCTAGGGTATTCTGAAAACTAATTTCAACATACACATGGTCATCCCCCCGGGTCATGTTTCTTTGATGAAAAACCCTCATCTTGGTGTATTGCAATCCCGGGGTAAAGAGGTGCTACCAGTACCTCTAGTCTGCCAGAACTATAACCACATAATCTGGTACTACGGATGGCCAGTTGCCCGCAGGACTTGTCCTGGCAGGTCAGTTGGTTGCAGTTCAATCGGGATCCACATAGCAGAAGTGGTTTAAACTCAAATTCGCTGAAAGAGTAAGTTTCGGTTAAAAGACGAATGCACGGTGAAATCTATATTTCCGGATAAGTTCGGTGCTGTTGCCGAATGACAACAGCTACCCCACAGATACGTGACTGTGGGACTAAGCGTTGGAAATAAGTTGGTTTTACTTGTATATTATACAGAATGAATATAGAAGTATACGGAACTCGTCCGCCCGTATACCTAGAGGGAGTCTGTCGTATATTGTTCTCTTATGAGCGTGTCAGTTAAATAAGAAGTGTGCAGGATTGAATGGTGATGGATGAAAGGTATCTTATATAAGTGATACCATTGAATTTTCCTTTCTTTTCCAGGTATGTTCAGAGTAAACTCTGTCCATAACAGATATACCACAGTGTGACTCTGTGAGTAAGATGGACGAGTTTGATGGATTCGTACTTCGATCTACCAGTTACGTCTCTAGGTGATGTTGAGTGATTGTTAATGGAAGTGATGTTTTTGTATCTCTGAAGTTAAGCAACGGAGCAGCAATGGTCAGAGATTAGATAGCTCAAGTACATGAGCAAAGTGCCATTCCATATTCGTAAATTTCCACCTGCGTGGAAGAAGCACAATGGGGCGGTGGAGAGTCGTCACAGAACCTTACGCTGTGTTTGAAAAAGACCACCGTGAAATAGGCCAACACTGCAGATGTTTACTTCAATACACATGAACGGACGGTCTGATGGACACGGCTAAATCGATTCCGCTATCTATAAGGATCCAGATATATACATAGGTATATACTTTATAGGGTCAGAAAATTATATTGTAGAAATTACAAACGGAATGCCCTTCTCACGAAGGAGAAGTTTATGAACTAGAAAGGGCATTCAATGAAACAGGTCCAGTTCATGAACGTACACCGCAGGACTTTAAATATTTTGGAAGAATAATTTCGAATTAAAAATCTGATCTTGAATTCATTAAGAATAGCGGTCATAAATAAATATAATTAAAATTCTATTAGGTACTAACAGAATTCCGTACAATTTTTCTGTAAAATAAAATTGAACAGTTTTTTTGGCAACGCAATAGGTTTTCTATGAACTTTATTACCTCTGGCGTCTTATTTTATAAACAAATCTACTAAAGGTTTGTGTATCTGCTAAGCCATTTCTGCTACACACCACCAGAGGGCAGCATGTTGTATATTATTAGAGTTGCCAACAAAATAAGCGTTATTTTTGTTAGTTTAAAATATAAAACGTAACAGTATGCTTAGGAAGTACAAATCTTGTAATATATCCTAGCCGTTAAGTTTATTTTATGTTATTACAGTATTGCCAAACTAATATTAAGAACACGTTATTTGCAGACACCTAAA